ATTCGTATTTGTCATCGTTTACGTAAGGTTGCGAAATCTCGCGATTATCGCCAAAAAGCATGCCTCTCCAAGGTTTTTAATTTGTACAGGCTTCGATTCGAAAGAGGCGCGTATCGGAGAGCAGAATTACAGAGTGGTGTTTCTATGCTACCCAGTATTTTATGTTATTAAAATGGCACCATGCTGTGTATATCTTGGTATTTAATTAGTATTGTTTAGTCCGTGAGGAATTTATTATTTAATACCGGTACTAGGCCTACTGATGTAGTCTCCCGATAAATGATACTTTTTCCAGCGTTCTTGTTTCCATAAAATAGCTACTCGCTATTGCCGACAACTTCCGGTGATTCTGATTGGTCGGTCAAATCAGGGAGTATTCCCGATTCCGTTGGGGACTGCACGCAGTACAACGATTGCACTGAAACACTGTAACGACAGTGAATCGATTTGGAAGCCAGGCTTACTGTAAATTGTGGGGGTTTCCCCATACCATATTAGCTTAGGCCAATTTACATTAAGGGAGTTTCCCTTTCATTCATTAACTGATTAATTTGTAAAATTATTTGGACTTATTTTGATGCTTAATACGCTCAGCAATCAACTCAGCACCCACGAATGTTAAGCACGTACACGAATAATATCAGCATGCAAACATTGAGTCCATTTAAATTTTCTACTGATGGTGTTTGCACATTGCCGCCACAGCCTACAGTATGCGTTAATCTGAAATAACATCGACCCGCTAATAATAACATTTTCCGCAAATAGAATGTCAAAGTTTGGGATTTTACCGGCGGATAATGAATTGATGCCACCGCTATATATAGCAACCGGACACATTGAATTGAATTCTGCCGTGCGCATTGCCGTAGCCAGGATTTTCAAACAGTGTGTGGGACAATCAGGGTGGACCCACTTCACACGTAAATTCAAATAATATATTTTTTAAGTTGACGCGTTTTACGCAAAAATATTAAACATCTGGACCAATTTTCTTAAAATTTGACACATTTTGCGCAAAACAAGGAATCTGGACCCATTTTCTTAAAAAAGCGGACCCAATAAAAATATTGTGTGGGACTGTCCCAACTGTCCGAATAGCTGGCTACGGCATTGGCCGTGCGAAATGATAAATATTAAAGAATACGTCATATCAAAGTATAATACTATATAGACCTATGAAAGTATAAAGTCAAATACGTATTTTATCTACTCGTATGTCTTTGCATGTGATCTGTCTGTGAATTCAGCTTGTGATGCGGTACAGTGACATAAATGATGACGCTATTTTATAGCCTTGATGAAAGAGTGGTCGCACGGTCAATTCCCTCTCTACAGCCACATCACGTCATCTATCGTGCCGCGTTAGTGTAATTGACTGTATAGGTTGACAATTGCGCTCAGTTATAATTGCTACTACCGACATTAATTCAGCATTTATAGTAATTTATTTTATTGATTGTCTGAGAATAAAGACGTATAGGCCTAATGCGACGCAGAACGAAATAAATTATTTAGAGAATGATAGTTTTAGTATCTGCTCGTGTACGCGTGCGCATATACAGCGTAAACCTATGTTCTGCATACTGACATGTTATACAGTATGCCCGCGAACCATGTCGTATCAAATAAATTTCTACTGAGGCAGATTACAACCGTTTTGTTTCTATTTTATATAACAGGGGCTTATAATAATACTGATTTAAAAAAAAGCTAAAACCGAACATTACACACAACACCCACACACAAAAGTATTAAACAAGTCATTAAAAACCCAACCCACTTCTCACACCCGACCCCCCAAAAAAAAAATAAATAAATAAATAAATAAATTTTTAAAAATGCTGTAGAAACAATGGCTGGATCTCGGTAGAGATGCAAATTTGATAAGCAACAGCTAAACAGTAAACGTAAAGTAAACAACCAGAAATAGAACCGGAACTTTCGGACACACTAGTCCTTCCTAAATAATAATGTACGTCTGACGGTCAATTAAAAAAATAAGAATCAATCCTAAACGGGATTCCTAACCGAGATCTGTACTAGTGCCTCGAATATAAGTGCCACCCAACTATGCATTGAGAACAAATTGGATCTTAAAATAGATCGGTATATAACACGATTAGTGCCTATAATAGATAACGTAATCTTACAGATGATGAGGAAATAATGTAACAGTTAACAGGATTCTTGAAATGGATAGGCACTTACTATAATTATCAGCGTCACCGTCATCATCATCGTCGTCTTTATTGTAATTGTCATCAGCTATATAATACTGTACATCATTAGCGGCATGGTCACCATCATCATCTCGTGTATACGCGTGCGCCAGCGTAGGCCTATGTTCTGCTTACAGAAATATTATATGCCCGAAAGATGTCGTACCAAATTTCTACTGAGGCACATTTACAACCGTCACCATCGTCATCTTCATCATCATCATTATTTTTCTAATAGGCCACCGACTTATACATAATCAAGTGCTTACAATTCCGACAGGGTTGTTTTGCAAGTATATCGCCTTAACATTATTATTGGGGATGGCTTAATTGGATTAGGACGATAAGTAACGGAAATATCAAATATCACCCATTGATTTTTAATAAATATTAAAGCCGAAAATTATGGAAAAGCAATTGAAATAACGACAAAACATATTGAAATATAAACGCAAACAACAGTTACTGCTACATACTAATTATGCCTGTGGGACACTGTCCACTGTGATTAACGAAGCTATGTGACAACACTGGACTAATAATTTAATTATGACACGACATCACCAATCAATGGATATGATGTTAAAAACAATTTCAGTGATACATTAATAGATGGCTCTAGGTAGGCCTATTTATAGGTCTATTATCACAAATTATCATGAAGTATCTGTGTATAGAATTTGCCTATATACTATTTTGTTACCTCCGCTGTTTCGATCTCTCGACCTGCATCCTGAATAATATTCAGGCGGAAAACAGTGCGACAGACGTGTTTGTCCGCCGGCGCGTCCTGCATGCAGCATAAACGAAAGTTGATAATGATTTATTATAGGCTTATTTGTAGACGTTCGGCAGAACAGGATATACAACCAATAAGGTGTGCTGTGAAACATGTGTTCATAAGTCTGAGGAGAAATTGATTCAGACAAATTTATTACATAAACGAATTAATGCTCCTTAATAATACATTAAAGATGGCAACAGTGCAATGGGAGACCCCGGTGGACAACTCCATTTTAGTATTATTAGTAGGCCTACAGTATGCCCAAATCGGCTTGACTCATTGTTATATAAATGCTTCATTAATGGCAACGGATATTTTTAGTTCTTATTCTAGCAACGTTCACAATAATGAGAAAATTGTTGAAAGTTTCACTAATAATAGAAATGAACTCGAGGGTACGCCATGTTGATCTTGTTACACGCATATCAAAAGTATGGATATTAATATTGACACGAGCGGAAAGGAATTTGCAGACGATGCACACACTCGGTGTTTAGTTTTCGCGCCAGTAGCATGTAACCCCTGTCGTGTGGGTGTAAGTCGTGTTCCTTCACAATTTATCCCGCAAAAACAGCTTCTTATCAATATTATTTTGAAAACGCCCGTGTGAATTGAAAGTCGGTCGTGTTGTAGCTTACATTCGCACGCCCACGTCGTGAACTACGACCATCCTGTTAATAAAGCATTATAATATTATGGATCTAATGAACATAGGCCCATGGTAATTTATTATACAACTGAGCACGAATTTCCAAATGATCTGAACAATGTGCCCGATAAAAATAACCGTAGTGGTTTTGATAGTTTCCTGCCGGGATACGCAAAAACTGCGGGATGTACAGGAAGAACAGTACTCTTCTCAGTAGGCTAGTCGGCATCACATCTAATACAGTATAGGCCTAGATAAACATTTATTTAGGCTTAAATCTATCTAGCATAACTGAGAATGATTTTCATGTCAGTTATTAGGATTATGAAAAAACAAGCATGGAATATATATATATCTAAAAATTATCAGCCCTAATATAGTTCATATCAACAAAGGCCAGATGGTGTTCTGGTGTGGTAGGCCTATTGTACGTTTGTTACTTTATTCACATCGAACATCGTGTCTAACGTCGTGATGTTCAAATTTATGTAAACCACACATCGATAATTACATCCTCAACTTCGTTAGGTAATGTGTTGTATACCTACCGTATACAGTACCTTTCGTGTAGTTTTCAAATATTGATTTTAAATGTTCTCTTATTTAAGAATTTAATGATCGATTGGTTGGTCCCCCCTATATACTGTAATATTGAATGCATTATGAATGTTTCACCATTAAAGTCAGTCAACACGGGCCTAGTCTCACATGTATTTCAACAATACCGTGTTAGTTTTTAAACGAAAAATGAAACTTCTCAGACAACCTCAGTTTCCATGGCGACACTAAGAGTAGCAGACTTTAGTATTATCACGGGACGTTAACCATTTCCACCTATAAAGTAAGAACACTTACGATTTGTACAAAAAACAAGCTCAATATTTGTACAAAACTCCAGGTGGGTTTAAGACAATAGGCCTATAATCATTGTTTCGATTCCACCAACAAACTGCAATTTCTCCCCAAGACCTATGCACGGTTATTATATCGAATTCAGTGACAAGTCAAATTATCCATTGATTTTATGACTGTCTCTATTACTGAGGCCTACATGAATTTGTTCGCAAATCAGCGAAAGTTTCACTATTGTTAGTTATTACTTTTCGATGCTCAGGTCTTTATAGAAATGCAGTAGGTCTATTTGATTTCGATGTCGTTTATATTTTTGTTTTGTTGATTCCATGTGTTCCTCTTAAACACAAAATAACGTTTGCAAATATTTCTACACAGGATCATCGTCAAGCTGCGACGTAATGTCATGACATGGTACAACCTTATAGCCGAATATTTCAATACAACAAAATGCCAAAAGACTACTTACGTCTTCTTGTTTTTCGTTTCTTAGGCACAACACTTGGGAGCCCGAGGGGAACATTTTAGATAACCGACTGCTTGAACGGTACGAACAGAGGTAAGTGCGCCTGCTAATCCGCATCATATTTTTAAATTTTCCACTTTCGCATGGAATTAAATCCTGTCAGTGTAAAGTCATGACTGCCGACATCAAAAGGTGTTGTGATGTCTAGTCGCAGTAGTGGCCTGATGAAGAAACTATTTCTTGACATTATTGGCCGTTACATTATCAAGTGCATCGTAAAAGTTTCAAATCTTTGAACTTTGAATATGAAATACTATAGGCCTAGATTCATATTCCCTGTTAGAACATTTCTTTGATGATCTTACCTAAGTTTTAAGAGGTTTAATTCTGCTTGATTTTTTGAGACACTTCTACTTAGGCATGAGTAAGCGAATGTCAATGGGACCCCATGGTAATATACCCATGGGGACAAAGTTTGCCGCACTCGTAAAATAAAGCATCAAACTAAAAGCATCCAACCCACCCGAAAATATTAGAATAGTTCGCACCGCTTTCATAAAATGCCGTATATTCTTATATGTAACAAAGGTGATTGAAACGGGAAGATAGGATAGGCCTAATAGAACATTAAATGAAACAAAAATGGGGCCCTCCCCAACCCACCCGAAAATATTAGCATAGTTCGCTCCGCTTTGATAAAATGTCGTCGTATCTTCTTATACTCTAACAACTGAGGATTGGAAACGGGAAGATAAGATAATATAACATTAAATAAAACAAAAAGGGATCCACCGCCCTAACCCACCCGAAAATATTAGCATAGTTCGCACCTCTTTGATACAATGTCGTTGTATCGTCTTATATGTAAAAACCAGGGGATTGGACACTGGAAGACAGGATAACATGAAACAAAAATGGGATCCCCTCCAACCCACCCGAAAATATTAGCATGGTTTTCACCGCTTTGATAAAATGTCGTTGTATCTTCTTACCGTATATGAAACAACTGCAGGAATTCGGAACGGGAAGATAGGATAATATAACATTAAATGAAACAAACAAAATTAATCAACAGTATCGTGTATCGTACCAAGTTTGGTGTTTTCCAAATTTAATTTATAACATTTTTTAGAATATCTGAGATAGGCTTCAATAAGAAATCAAACAAAATAAAATCATGATACAAAAAACCCATTGTGCATTACTACTCCTAAGTTCATGATAAGATGACGATACAAGCTTATATTATTTTTATTAATTTTTCGTCACTATTACTGTATACAGAGGTCTGGACTGAGCGTCCGGCTTCCATCTTTTTTATTTCCGTATTTTATTAGTGAAGGCCTATATTGCATTTCCTTGAGCTCGATGGGAATACCAATCTTACGTAAACAAAGAGCGATTTATTCACACCGCTTATAATGCTATTTAGTTTAAATATTCTTGTGCATCCGGGCTTATTGTAATTTGACCGAAACTGAGTCATAAGGAACACAATTCGTTAAAAATCGATCCACGTTGTAACTTATATTGTATCCAAATCCAGACCCGTACTCCTAACTGTCCAAACACTTTATAAAAAAAATATATTTCTATTTGTCCTACACAAAGGCTCAGCACGACTGAACTATTCGACCGTTCCGATAAACCATCTGCATCATATATCCCAATTGTTTCTCAACAGATCGTTTTATTATGTCCTCAATAATTAAGAATACATACACTGTAAAAACAACGTGGAAGATTTAAACGCAAAGCTCCACGCAATGTTGTCTAAACGTGTTTAGGTTCGGCCTAATGTGTTTAAGTTTCTGACGTGTTAAGCATTAAATGTGCTTAGGTATTTGACATCATGATGTCAAACATCATGATGTCAAATACCTACAAGATACAAGATCTGTCTCTTATACACATCTAGATGTGTATAAGAGACAGAAACATTTATTTAGGCTTAAATCTATCTAGCATAACTGAGAATGATTTTCATGTCAGTTATTAGGATTATGAAAAAACAAGCATGGAATATATATATACTGTCTCTTATACACATCTAGATGTGTATAAGAGACAGCATATAGAGTGTTAAATAAAGATTTCTTAGAAAATAAAAATTTGAGTCCTGTGCAGTTATCTTCTGAAATTTTGATTAAATAGATTACAAGCGATGTACAATGCTGAATTTTTAAAACGGTTTGTGGATATTTTGTTTTGTTTATGTCTAACCCTTCCCGATCTATTTATGATAATCTCTGAAATTAATGGATGGGATGAATCTTGCATAATTGAATTAAATTTCTTAAGTAAGAAATCATTAAAAATATCTTCCAATGACTTAACGTCGGCTCCAATCACTCTTCCAGCCTTATTTACAATTCTCAATAATTGACATTTACTGTCTGCGGTGATATGAGAGAACCAAATAATAATACAATAAGAAAGAATTAACTGGACAACCGAGGAATAAAACATATGAATAAGATGAGAGCTAACATTAAACATTTAATTTAAAACACGTCAAGATCCTAAGCACATTAGGCTATGTCTAAACAATGTAGCATTTAAACGTCTCACCAAAGACAGTAACATTGCGTGGAGCTTTGTTTTTAAATTCTCCACGCTGTCTTTTAAAGTGAAGGTCTACATAGTCATGTTCCAAAAATACACATCTCGCAAAAACATACATTAATTGTACACTACTGCAGCTAATCAACTTAAACACTAAGATATCGTGTATGCTTTTGTTTGCAAAAAAAGTCACTTATTAAAGTGGTACACATCATACATGGAATATTAAATTGTAACTGTTCTAATCCCCTTTTTCTTCAACACACAGAATGCAGACCATGAAAGAGTCATCAAATCTCATAAAGAAACCGAGGGTGAGTGATGAAAACATTATGTTTGTCGTTAGTTGGTTGATGATATTATGACACGCGTCAACAACATCATCGTCGTCGTCATCATCTTCATCGTTATCTTTATCATTTCCATTATCATCATCGGCGGCGTCGTTATCGTCGTTATAATCATCGTCGTCATCATCATCATTATCATCATCAACAACAACAACAAAATTGACGCTACATTCTCTTTGGTGCCATTGGTCAATGGAACTATACCCAGGTGGCTCCTTTTGTCGTCATTCCCTTAAATGTCTGTTTTTTAGGGTGTGGAGCTGTCATTTATTTTGGTCCACCTATTATCTTGAATCTTGCTGAATGTCCTGCCCACTACTTTGATTTCTATTACCTTTTCAATGACGCCCTTGACTTTGGTTTTCTATCTGATATTTTTTATAGTTTGTCCCTTATGATTATGTATAGCATTTATCTCTATGGGCTTTTGATTACGTCAAAAGAACGCATATTTAAGAAAACGTTTATGGTGGTATGCCTACATAATAGTACAGTAAATAAAAAAAGAGTATAATTACAGTTAGCCGATTATGACTAAATCCTCCCAGAACACCTCATAACAAAACTATTCCATTTACATTTGTCATTAATAATTCATATTAGCCTATTTGAAAATCTTTGTTCGGCACTCAGAAATCCATAGATTGTTCTACTTACAACGCACTGTTTTAATTTTCTCATCTTTTCAGGGGAAACGAATGGGATTAAAATTTCCTTATCGCAAACACCAACCAGATGCAACGAATACTCATAAAGATGTTGAGCATGATGCCACAAAGTATGACGTCACACCGGATGTCGATACTGATGTCCAATCATGTAAGCAGAGGGATAAACTTCAAAATATAAGCTCCAGTGCGAACGAAATCAGCAAACATTTCGATTTACAAACCATCAAGCCTCGTGTACCTAACGAGATGTTAATAAACGGTACAACAGCTAATAGGCATACTAGGCCTAGTATAAATTCTGATACAAGGGCCTTTAAACGGAAATCAGGGAAACCATCATCTGTATCACCAAAGGAAGCATACGTATTTAACATGAATTTTTGGAAGGGCCTGAACCGATACAGCACGTACCCAAAGACCTCTTACAATTCAACCGCTAACAGAGATAAATTCTGGTCGCATGACGATCAGGCCGCATACCCAATGGGAAATCATACAAACGTAGCCTTCTCTCAGTCATCGCTCAGCGCCGATATTCACCCGAAGAGAAAGGCTTCCCTCCCTCAACAGGAAGAGCCACTTGACTTAAGTATCAAAAAGCCTAGATTAACGAGTTCTTCATCAAATGAGGGACTCGACGCTAAGCAACTGGTTGCTAGTTATTCATACACAAGAGGACAATCAAATGTAGCTTACCTAGATGCGACTGTATCGACCCTAAACGTGGATTATACAGATAGAATATACAATAATGGCTCGACCCAAAAAACGATTTGAAAAGTAACAACCAGAATGATTAGTTAAACCAATTAATGACAATGGCGGGAAAACAGCTTGTTTAAACACGTATCAGTTTCACACGTTTGAAAGAACAAAATTAACAACAATGATGTAAAACGAAGATGCGGAACTAGCAGGAAACACGCTTTACTTTATCGTTTTCAATGTATAAAGTCTTTATAGGAGGCTATAGATTTCTTCGGTGTGAAACACAACAATGATGACCCAAGAAAGTTCGAGGAAATATTTCTTTGGGGTGCTTCTGATGGTGAATTAGGCAGTTTAATTTCAGTCATCCATCTGAAAAAATGGAGAGCAGCGAAGGAATTGAACTGGACACGAATATTATTTAAAGATCCACGGTTGGCTTCCACTAAGTTAAGCTGTTTTCTTAAATCATATTATAGTTTTCTTGCCAAATATATCAGTGGTATTGACACTGTCTCATTTACAAGGGAAGAGAAATTTCACCAATGGTTCTTATACTTTGTAGCAATCAATTTGCTAGTTTTGTTCTATTCATGGGATACAATATCAGCCAATGTTCAAAACCACAGGACCGTTTTGTTCATCAATGATTGTAGTTTTTATTGTTTCGCGATTACATACGGATATTTTGATTATCATGGTTCTTCCGTAATATTCTGAGAAATGGATGCCAGTGTTATACGGTCAAAGCAATCTAATATTAACATTAGCACAAACACCAGACTAAGGACATATTTGATTTTTGCGTAAGATAAATAAGAATGGAGTAATGATGGCCTATTCGTCGAGTCTGTTTATAATGTTAGTGGTTCCCGTGGCGACAGCCAGCTATTTGAATTTCAAAGAGTTGGCCTATTTCTCTTTAATTTGGCCTATTTACAAACAACTGAGTTTACATTAATGTCGAGTCGATAATAATTGTTTATAACCATTTACCAGACTGGCTAATGTTTTATTAACGGCCTAGCACCAACGAGGTATGATACGTAATATATTGGCAATAATACAAAGGGTACTGTTTACAAGTAGCAATGTATTATGTTCTACTACAAAGTAGTATTTACGATTCACAGAGCAAATGGAAAAAATGAGTGGTAATTTAACATATAGGGCTGCTGCAACAATGGCGCCAGGATTTGTCCAACGGGGAGCTAAGTGATCTGACAGGGAGGTCTGACACTTTCTGGCGGGGTCCAGGGGTAAAGCCATGGCGGGGGCCAATAGGCTAATCCTTTACTACCCAAAGAAACTGGCCATTTTGGGCGATTTTAATTGTTGTCACTGATTGTACTGTTATTACGTAAGAAGGGTACCGATACACATTTTTAAACCAAATATTTCAGGCCTAAATAAACACCATGTGAGGAAAGAAATCCGTTTAGTAATGTTATATCACCCAGAATTTTGATATCGTTGGTTACGTGGCTATGCTGTTTGCAATCACTTGTTATTAACGTAAGTAGATATGTTAAGTTTGCCAGAGCACAAACCACTTTAACAAAAAAAAAATCATTCTATATCTTCGGAGATCTGTCGAGAGGTTTCCAGACTGGCAATCTGGCTACAGTGGTAGAAAACCATTTTTTGTGTAAGCCTTACTACACTCGTAAATATTAATACTTTGAATTAATAATTTTTACTTACGTTGTGTTGATATTTTAATTACAGTACAGTATAATACATTGGTTGAAAGCATACATTTGCTGTAACTTTATAGGCTATACGATGTTCAGTTATACCATGGACCTATTAATAAGGTCTATGGTTATACCTTTCCAAGTACTGTACTTAGGCATTTTCCGGGCTCTTTTCTTTTTTGTGGCCTAATAATTTACTCTCGTTTAAACCAAGGCCACCTACTAAT